TCTCCAAATAAAAACACTTTTCCAAACAAAAACACTTAGGAGAGGCACTGCTTTGCATCTGTATAAATCTCTTTAACCTCTGCCTTCATGAAAGGCAACTGGATTCCTCCATCGACTTCGGTGTTCAGACTGCTGCAGTATCACACTTCAGGCAGTCTCTGGGAAACTGTACTGTATAGTTATGGGAGGGTGAAGTGAAACAGGCCAATAATATCTTAGTATTACTGCCAAAGAAGTTTCTAATTCCCCTGAAAAACATCTCCGTAACCCCCACATGTACCTGGAACATACTGAATTACAGGGTTTAAAACAGTCACAAAGTAAATTAATAGTAAATATTAATTCTCTATTCCCCTTATCCTTAGCCTCCATGTTATTAGAACATGAACACATCAGGGCAAAGACTTCTCCAGCTGTAGAATATCTACAGCAGCATCATGCCTCCTGTAGACAGATGACCAACAAGTGTTACTGCTGTTGCTTATTCTGGTTCCATAACTAATTAGCTGTGTGATCTTCAGCTAAGGATTTTTATTCTGTGTTCAAATTCAGAGAACCATGGATCTGAAAAGGGGAAGAAAATGCATCTCTATTTTCTAACACTCAGCATTTACTTTAATTATGACTGCAGGCAATATACCCCACTTGCAGCAAACCGAAATCATAGGTATTTTCGTATCATATCACAGTTACTGCAGATATCTTACAAAAATCACATACGCTCATCATTAATTCAAAAGTAGGGTAGTTATTAGATCGGCCACTAAATCTTGTTATCTAGTGCCTTAATAAGCACATATATTACAATACCACAAATTCTGAAAAATATCTTGACGGTTGTATTTCAAAACAACTGGGTTTCATTTCCAATCCTTCATAGTTGACTTTGTGCATTAAATCATTATTCGAAGAAAGTGATCCACAGGCTTAACCAGATGACTAAGGGAGTTCATGCAGTCAAAAGGTTACCTTGCGTTAAGCAATTCACTTTACGACTTTAGTCGCGAAGTTCCCATCTTTAAAGGGAACCCAGACCAGTTATCCTCTGAGACCCTCCCCTCAAGAGCTGACCGGGAACCCACAGCACACCTGACTGCATTAACAAAAAGCTACAAGGGTCTGCTCTCAATTTTTACACAGCATTTGAGAGTCTACTGAGCTAAGTGCTTTCAGATTAATGCGGTTTAGCAGAACCAAACAGATGAAGAGCTAATGGTGAAAGCAAAGGTCCTCCCACACTACCTTTTATCACATTATAACAATATAGATCACAAATAAGCAATAATTAATTATTCTGCAAAAAAAAAATCAACCATCCACATAATTCGGGGCTATTATTGATAGGAACTGCTTGTTTGGATGCAGACTTATACACAAATGTTTCAAAGCATCAGAAGAGTAACCTGGATATATATCACTAACGTTCTTTAAATCTAAATAAAAGTGATTACACCCTCATATTCTCAAACAAAAATTTCAATAAAGAAAGAGAGAGAGAAAAAAAAAATAAAGAAAAACAAGACAGCTTTCCATGGCAATGGGAAGTGCCCTTGTATCCAAGCACTGGCACGGAGAACTTCACACCGGGATACTAATGGACTAGAACTTTCAAGAAGCAAATCTATTGGTCCTCTCCCTTGATAACACAGATAACACGTGTGGGTCATTCAGGCCCTTCTAAATGCTAGAGACTGAGCCAACAGAGCTATGTTTAAGAACTAAGAAAGCCCAGACAGATTGCATTTCAGTCCCCATAGAAAAATCTAGGCTATGTCAGGAGCAGCCAATAGTGGCACCAAGATAATATAAGAGTAGAGACTGCTAGCTTCCCTTAGCAAAATTCAAATGGAGATCAAAGCGCTACCCTCACACAGAGTAGCTGTGAGGCATTAAAATGCTTCAAAATGTCTATCATATGGTTTCCTTCACCCAGAAACACAATCCGACCACCAGACGCTCACAAGTGATAACTATCCCCCCCCAAATGTCCAACAAGCCAATTTTCCTAATTATATTTAAATGAGTCTGTCTACTCTATGCTTATTTTCTCAACAGCACATCTCTCTTTTTTTTTTTTAACTTGCAAAGATAAAGACAGACTGAAGGGCCTCATTTCACACATTTAACCAAACAAAATAAAACTCATATTGTGGTGAATGGGGGGTGGGTGGGGAGAGGAACTGCATTAAATCATCAGAAATTAGGCTAGGGAGTTACAATGTCACCTCAATGCCAAGAATAAGCAGTTACTGAATATATGCTCTATACCTGGTATTGTGACAGGGATACATAACCATAATCTTCTGATTCAGTGAACCCAAGGATAAAAGGATAAGTAACAAAGGATGGCACAATGTAGTGATTGTAGTGTGAGGAGAGGCGTAAGGGTTTGGGAAGGTCTGGTTCATACCCGATCTGGGTAAGCAATGGGAATGGATTTGAGCCCTGAGGAAAAGGCCGGATTCGGGAAGGTGCAGGTGTGGGAGGGTACTCCGGGCAGGCGACAGGCACAAGGGAGCAAAGTCCCAAAGGAGAGACTCTCCATTGAATATTGCCCAAGAGCAAAGAAGGGCAGTGTCTGCACTAGTGAGTTCATGAAAGAAGCCAGGAGAGATAAGGCTGGAGGAGACAGGTTGAACCAGATTATCATAACCTTGGAAGCTGGGCTCAATTTAGACTTTACCCTGTAGTCCAAGGAAGGCTTCCAAGGAGGGAGGTGTTATGAACAACAGTGAGTTTTAGGAATAAACAATGGTGATTTATCTCTGAGGCTAATCTGTCCTAACAGTGGGTCCTTTTGTCAAGCCAAGATCAGAATCCATTGTGTCTAGTAAAGAAAGTGTGCCAAATTATATCCTCCGGCAATTTTGCTACCACCTATGCCCTGGAAATGCAACTCAAATACTTTTCTGGACTGATGATAAATAACCATGTAATCTGATCCCAGAACGGGGGGGGGGGTGTATTAAAAAGAAAACGTCATACTTGCTCCTGTGACAATGGCATTAAAACCATACTGGGGGGCGCCTGGGTGGCTCAGTGGGTTAAAGCCTCTGCCTTCTCCTCAGGTCATGATCCCAGGGTCCTGGGATAGAGCCCCGCATCGCATCCGGCTCTCTGTTCAGCGGGGAGTCTGCTTCCTCCTCACTCTTTGCCTGTCTCTTTGCCTACTTGTGATCTCTGTCAAATAAATAAATAAAATCTTTAAAACAAACAAAACCCCATATGGTGGGGGGGCTACATGAAAGTCATAATTGTTTTGGATCCTGTTAAAATTAAAACTGATAACTTTTTAAGTAGTAATTAATGATTAGGCATCGCTAAATGTGCCTTAATTTAGTAGTACTCTGTAACACTCAAATATAAAGAAACTAATTCCCTCTATCTTATTAGACCATTTCACCTCCATTTCACCTCCTTAACTACTGGCTACTTACTGGCACCTGCCATGTGGAAGCCTCATGACCAAATTATGACAAGGTGGTCTGGGGCAGAAGAATGACCTACTCATTTCTGAGTTGGAGCCACAGGAAAGTGCAAAGATTCTAAGTAAAATGTAAGAGGAAACAAGTTGTTTTGTGTTTTTTTTTTTTTTTGAATAGAGGGAAAACAAGAATTATGTATATACAATATATAGTATTATATACACTCACATACATATATAGAGGGTCACAATTAAGAATACTATAGTAAATATGAAAGGGTTTGGTTGTTGGTTTTTTTAAACTGACTTCTGGTTACAGAGTTGAAAAGCACTAGAGGACTTTTAAGAGTAGCTCTGAAAAGGAGTTCATGGTCAGAAAACGCAGAAGCACATAAGAGGTCCAGGGACCACTCCCTACTAACTGAAGCAGTGAGGGGGAAATGGGGGCGGGGAAGGGACGAAAGTAAAAGATTAAATTACAAATGGGCCAAATGAATGAACCTGACAGGAAGTGATAAAATTCTCAACACACACAACTGTGTTTATTCTAGGGAACCGCTCGGAAATCTACTTGCCCTGTAATCTACCAACTAATGGCAGTCTTCCCACGAGACCTCAGCAACCTCACTCCTGGATAAAAAGTACAAGGACCACGGTTTTTCCCCTGGGTCAAAACCAGGCAGAGCCAGTGTTTTGGGTCCAAAACAACACAACAGCAATCCCTCCGCGGGTAGTGGGGGCTCCTTCAGGACCGCTGTTAGGAATGCCAAGTGCCTGGGCAGGACCTGTCACAGTTTTCTTAACAAAACATCCTCATGTTATCCCACCTTGAAACTCGGGGCTCGGAAGGCAGTCTTACACCGTCTGTCTTCATGCACGGTCCGTTAGGGACGAGCGTGTCTGCACAACCAGTACTCTCCCCCCCCCCGGGGGGCAACCACCCCCCCGCTGCCTGGTCACACACTTCCTGTCTCTCCCATCACACCCACCCCACGACTTCAGTTTCCCATTCAGTTTACAACTGTTAGCCGGGTCCCAGTCCCTGCGAGGAAAGGGGGGCGGGCGGCATTCCACCCCCAAACCCTCACTTTGGGACCTCAGAGAGAACCCAGGAAGAAGGAAGGCAGAAAGCCCTGGGTCCCCGAGCGGCACCCGCATTCGGCCGACGGCGGCCGAATTACAAACTACTCAATGAAACCACAAGGATGGGGAGGAGAAATGCGAGCACCCGGGCGCGGTGCCCCAAATGAATAGCAGGCGAGCGCTCGTCTTTTGACGTTTCCATCGTGCAGAGCGCCGGAGCTTTGGGTTCGGGAACCGGATTACCAGTCCCAGAGCCCGAGTGCACTTTCAGCCCCTCGGATTCCCCAAACCGGGAGGGACGTCCCCAACCGGGAACTGTCGCCGGGGTAGCTGAGCCCTGACTGCGCCTGCGAGGGCAGCGGGAGCCGAACCCGGTATCGGGCAGCGCGGATACCCAGTGGCCCGGCGTCCGCCGCCCAACTTTGCGCAAGCCAGGGCCGCTCCCGCGAACTTCGCGGCAGCCGGGCGCGGGCGGGGTGGGGCGAGCACTCACCAACCCCGTACTTCTGCCTCTTGGTCGGGATCCAGCGGGCCATGGCGGCGACCTCGCCCCGCGGCGGCAGTGGCTGCGGCTGCGGCGCTACAGCTCCTGGGGCCCCGGCCGCCGCGCCGCGCTCCCGCGCGCCCCGGGCTCCTCCGCCATGTTCCGGCAAACTTCGCCGACCCCGCGAGCAGTCTCCCCGTCGCGCCGCCCGCACGGGATTTGCTCCGGCTCGGCCCCGGCCCGCGGTCACCTGCTGGGCCGGGCGGCCGCGCCGCCGTGCGCGCCCCTCCCGGCGCCGCCCCGGCCCCTCCCGCCGGCCGCGCCCTCCGCCCGCCGGGGCCGCCTCCGCGCCCCGACCCGCGGGCGCCCGGCCTCTCCCGCCCGCCCCGGGGCTCTGCGCTCTGCCGGATCCGCCTCGCGCACTTCCCGGGAGCCGCTTCGGCTCAGGTTTTTTCCATTTAGTGTTTGGCGTTCCTCTCCCCCGCCGCCCCGCACCGTCTTCCTCACCCGGATTAAACCCTCGAGGTTGGATCCCCGGGGGCGTCGGGAGGGCCGCGCTGGAGGCGCGGGGCACACCCAGGCGGGCTGCGGGCCGCGGGTGGGCGAGGAGTGCGGGGTCGCGCCCACTGCGCGCCGCGCCTCTGGGGGAACGAGTATAAATTCTTAAGTTGCTTCTCGGCCCTGGACACCCCCAGTGTCTGGCACTCAGCGGGCGCTCAATAAATATTTGTTGAATGAATGAGCAGTTGACTACTGCGTTTACCCCCTAGAGCTTTAACTGACACGGAGAGAGCCGGAAGCCGGACTCCGGGGCAGACATGATCTCCCCGGGCCACCCTTTATAGCTTTCAAAGCGGGCTCTTCTGTATTCGGGTAAATAGAGACCCGATGCGAGGGAGACGTGCTCTTCAGAAGTGTCAGTTTCCTAGGGGAGCTCAGTTGGGAAAAATTCTTTAGAGAGCCTTAACTTGGAAATTCTGTACCCCCCAAACACCGGCACTCCTCCCCAGCTGGAGAAATGCAGACCCTTATGCTCGGGGGGGGGAAAAGTCCCCCCCCCCCCAGGACCCCGCATTTCCAAAAGACCTGCAGCCTGAAGACCATCCCTGCGGAGTCGGGGACGGGGCACACCCGAGTCCTCGCTCCTTCGCTGCCTGTGTAGTTTTGACCAACAGCCAACCGCAGGGACTGCTTTTTTGAACTGAAGAAGGCTTCTGCTGGAGCCCTCTGAAAACCGTCCCGGATCTCACTTCCTCCTGGAGAGACCTCGGGAATGACGGTGGGATTAGAGACACCTGAGCTGGGGGGCGGGAAAGGGGGAGGGACGTTTTGCTACCTAATTACCCACAGAAGTAAAATCTCAGAGTAAATGACCAGCCCATTTATGTTGAGGGTTTGAGAAAACACCTTTTGAAACAACTTTTCTCCTTGCGGCCTATGACATTTTCCTTGCCTATTTGGAACATGAAAGAAAGATAAAATATACACGTAGTAAAAGAGAATGAAACTTGATTGGAGAATCAGTGCATTGTAAGTTTGGTAACTTTTGCAAAACCAGATCTGAAATTTAAATCAAACAAAACAAAACAAAACAAAAAAGTCCTGCTCTAGGTGGGTAACTCCTAGCGCTTACTTTCTTCTCCATCAAAAATAGGCATTTATTCACAGAGTGTAGTGATAATTTAAGAATCTGTCACTTTAGACTTAACATCAGGAAGGCATGAAGGCATTCCACCATCTCCCTGAAAATAATTTTTCTTTCTCTGCCAATGATATCATGATTAACCTAGTTTCCAGGCTAGATAATCTCTTCTTCTTCCCACAAACATTAGCTATGTGCCTATTAGGTTTCAGGCACTGTCCTAAGAATGGTTCACAGCAATGAATACAGTAAAACCCCTACCCTCATAGAGCCTACAGTCCGGAAGAGGAGAGTAAAACAAAACAAGGATACTGCCACATGAGGCTAAGCATGTAGAGAAAAATCCCAAGCAAGGAGGATAGAATTGGGGGTTGGGGGGTAGATTCTGCTGCTTTATATTGAATGAAGGTGACATTGAAGTATAGACTAGAAGGAAGTTTGGATTCCAGGGGAAAGTATTCTGGACATCAGGAACGACAAATGCAGAGGCCTGGAGGCATGTTTAACATGTTCTTAAAACAACAAGAAATCCTGATTGGTAAGAGGTCAGTAAGGACCAAGTTTGGTCCAAGAGGCACAGGGTGGCCAGATAGAGCAGGACCCTGAAAGGAGTAATAAGGACTTATATGTTACAATAAAAGGTTGAAGGGTTTTGAGCCAACCTAGGACACAATCTAATTTGCTTGCCTGTGGGAAGAACAGATTATAAAGGCCCAAGGGAAGACACAGGAATATTTTAGTAGTTCAAGCAAGAAATGAAAATAGTTGGGTCCAGGATGGTAGGGGAGAGATTGAAAAGAGGTTGGATTCTTAGCATACACTGAAGGCAGAGCCAACAGGAGTGCTGTGTGCACAGAGGGGAATTTACTGTGAGGCTTCGGGACATTTTCATTAGCTTATGTTTCCGGAAAATTTGCAAAGAAAAAAAATGTGTTGTGTTAGTGTATGTGTTTTCTTAAGATCTTTACCCTATATGCTTCAGGCCCCAGAGAACTTGGATCTTGTCCCTGGGTGTGATAGATGGGTCAAAGATGACTCTAAGGCTGAGGGCTTGAGCAACTGGTAAATACATACAAATTGTTCCGTATTGAAGTTTTGCCGTCTTCCTTTATGGCTTACCTTGTCATACCTTCCTCAGTCAGTGATGCCTCCAGGTGGACCATTAGGAGCTGAAGCATTTGCATTATAGAATGGGACCTTCACAAAGTTATTTTAATCACCTCTGTTCAAGGAAATTGTTTCACCAATGTTCTCTAACCACTGTTATATTCTGAATTTAATACATCAGAGTGTTTGTGCTCATTAAGTGGATATGGATTTCTACCAAAATCATTTCAGCTGCCTTTTCTGGAATGTTTTCAGCTGCCACCCCCTACCACATTTTGCAACACTTGAGGTTTGAATTTGGGCATTGGATATCTCAGGTTTGACAATGGTTGCATTAAGAGGGCTGGAGGCAAACGGAAAATTTTAATTACAGCTTTCAGTATGTTTATTCTTTTTCCTCTGAAGCCTGAAGCCCACCCACTTTGTTATATCAGATGGTTAAATCCAAATTTGAAAGTTCATTTAAATCATAAAAGCAGAGCTATTCAATGTCTTTTATTAAAATTAGGCTTTAAAATTAGAGAGTCAGCCAGATGGGTAGGTGAAATAAGAGCGTGATTCCCAGAAATATCATTTCACTTTCGTCTGATTTCTTTTCAGAAGAAACAGTAAGCATATTCCACAACCAGAGATATTCAGACTTCAAAACCTACACCAATACAAACACATTTATGCACCCGCCGGCATTAGCATACTCTGCTTGAGAGTATGCCTTGGAAAAAGTGTGCTTCGGAGAAAGAAATGAGGATAAATTAATTTGGAGGCCAGTTTGACATGAAAATTGTGGCTATCCCTTACAATGCCTAAGAGAAAGACAAATGTGGGGATAACTGGCAAGAGCCTTCACTTCCTCCTTTGATTACCAGGTTTATTTTGCCAAATCTGGCTGACTTGATTGCTTCTCTGAAAGAAGCTATGGGTTCTGCTTAAAAAGTGTCTCTTTTTTTGTCTTCCCTAGATAGAAGAGGCTCATTCTTTGAGCCTATGTATGAATGAGTGTATTTGCTAGAATTCCCACCCCGCCGAAAAAAAGGAAAAGCATAATCGGCTCTAACCACCACCACTTTACAGTCTTCCAAAGGCAAATGCTTTAGGACAAGGTGGTTGTATGTAGGTGGAGCACAGGGCGATGCATTGTCATTTGGGACCCGTGAGCTAAAGGGAACAAAGAAATTGACCTCCACACCCCTAGAAGCACTTTTTTTTTAACGTACCCTACAAACTCACATCACTATCCACTCTCTGCCCCACCCCCCAAATGATTTGTCTGGTGAGCATTTTTGGGTCTGTTTGTGCTTCTGCCATGTGATATTGTAGGTCCTGCTTCTCTGATGAGTGGGGGATGATGGTCAGTGCTCTAATGCAAGTCATAGCCTCATCCCCATTGCTGCGTGATTTATGCTTGGGTAGCACTTTCATCCCATTCATGAACACAGCAGAAAGCTTTTAGTTTTGTTTCTAGAATGATCATTGCTGCAAAGACCGAAATGTGCCTTCAAGATCACCTTTGGGAGAAGCTGATGACGTGAGCAATTCAAAGTCATTAGTTTGATGAAAATTGGATATTCATGTGAGAAACAATGAAAACCACTGGAGTTTTCAAAACTTTGCTCATACATGTATCTTGAAAAGTTCCTATATGTGTTGAAAATTTGTCTTCCTTAAATCCTTTTTTTTTAATGATTTTATTTATTTATTTGACAGACAGAGGTCACAAGCAGGCAGAGAGGCGGGCAGAAAGAGAAGGGGAACAGGTTCCCTGCTGAGCAGAGAGCCCGATGTGGGGTTCGATCCCAGGACTCTGGGATCATGACCTGAGCCAAAGGCAGAGGCTTTAACCCAATGAGCCACCCAGGTGCCCCTTCCTTAAATTCTTTAAAACAAGAGGAGATAGGAACTAAGAAGCAATGTGGAAAAATTATGGTTGTAAGCATAAGTCAAAATAATTAATTTGTATATGCCAAAATAATTAATTTGTACATGCCAATATATAAAATTATATTTTACATGGAAAAATGACATCAAACATTAAAAAAGGGAAAGTTTTGGGATACCTGGGTGACTCAGACGGTTAAGCATATGCCTTTGGCTCAGGTCTTGATCCCAGGGTCCTGGGTTGGAATCCCACACTAGGCGCCTTGTGCCTGCCACTCCCCCTGCTTGTGCTGTCTCTGTGTCTCTCTCTGACAAATTAAAAAAAAAAAAAAAATTTTTTAATGAAAAATTTTATTCAACCTTCTTCAAAATAAAATAAACAAAAGAAAACTTCTTGGTCGCTGAGATTCCTGGATGATAGAGGAAAACAAGAAGTTAAATGCACAAATTTAACCTTTACTTGTG